AAATGGAAACTGGGTTATATAGGGGATTATAGGGTTTAGGGTTTCCCAAAATTAGGGGTACCATTTTGGGGGTCCCCATATCAAGGATTAAAGTATGTTGGGGTCTATATTGAGGTCCCCACTAATTAGGGAAAGTAGCAACTCTTCTCTAGCCCTGGCTTCGGCATCCTACTTTCCTAAAACCTAGACCCTGAACCTCCCAAATTCTTTGAGTTATAAAGGCCCTGACATAAACCCTAAGGACGGTCAAGCAGTTGCGCCACCCAGCACCGAAGTGGCCACTGTACTGCCCATGGAAGGCCTACGTGGTTCGGTCTTAGGGTTTAAGGTTCAGGGTTTAGGGAAACAAGACCTCATATGCTTCCAGCACCCGTCTACGAGTCTCAAGTGAGCCTCATATGAGGTAGCCACCTGGTAGCTACCCGCCTGGGCGTGTCTTTGGGTCTTGGCCTTACAGGTCTCAAGCCTAGACCCTAAGCCCTAAAGCGCGTATATTAAGGCCCCTACGTTTACAATCCAATCTTCTGCAGATCCCGGTTCTTCTCCCGCTGTGTGCAAAGTTGGCATGTCTGGTTCCTTCAACGATGGGACGATGGGCTCCTAATAGGGAGTGGTTGTATTCAAGGTTTTTGTGAGTTCTGCTGGTGAGGAAGTGCAAGTTTAAGGCTTCAAGGCTTCCAGGCACATAGGCCTAAACCCTACCTAGACCCTCCAATGTAGTTCCTTTTTGGGTTTGTTATGGTTTCTACCAAAAAAGGTACTACATTGGAGGGCCTAGGTAAACCCTAAACCGGATGACTGATATTTTTTTTGCCTTTTTTCAGCATTTGGTCATCCTCATCCTGAAGCTAATGGACCGCGAAGATTCGGAAACTACAAGGGATATGGGAATACAGGGGATATTCGGGATAATAGAATGGAAACTACAGGGAGTATAGGGATTATATAGGTATAGGTATAATATTGGAGCTATATACAGGATATATAGGTGTTATATAGGATAATGGAAAAGAAAATGGAAGCAACTATATTATACCAGTGCATATATTGGGGTCATAGCCAGAAGGACGCGCAAAGCCTAAAACCTAAACCCTGAACCCTAAACCCTGAACCCTAAACCCTAAGCCCTGAAGCTTAAACCCTGAAGCCTTCTAAGCCCCAGAGCCTAAATCCCCCCACACGGACGGATCAACCCTAGACCCTAAGGCTCCAACCCTGAACCCAAAACCCTAAACCTCTGGTTTAGGGTTTAGGTTGTAGGGTTTAGGGTTTAGGGTTTATAGGGTTTAGGGCCCCCAAACCACCGCAAACCCCCCAATCGAAATCTTATCAGCCAGGCGAGGCTTTCGATGATCTCAAAGTTGAGGAGCGCCTGTTTTACCATGATGGTTTAGGGTTTAGGGTTTAGGGGTATTGAAATGGGGATTTCCCAAAATGAGGGGTTCCTTTCTGGTGGCCCCAATAATAAGGTTTGTAGTAGTTTGTGGTCTATATTAGGCCCGCACTATTTATGGAAATTGCCATATCTTAGTCTTT